TTGGTGAGCGGCCTCGCTCTGCACCAACCTTGTACGCTGACAACAAGGCCATGATCCTCCTGTGTCGAGAGCCTCGACTGGAGAGCCGAGTGAAGCATATTGACGTGAGGTACTTCCTCCTGCGAGAGCTGCAGCGACGCGGCCAGGCACGCCTGGACTTTGTGGCCTCAGAGGCCAACACTGCAGACGTCTTCACCAAGGCCTTGGCGCTTGGTGACCACCACAGGTTCTGTGTGCAGTTGGGGCTAGTTGAGGTAGGCCCTCGGTTGCTGTAGTCCTGTTGCTTGCTCTGCTTGTTGTGCCTTGTATTTATATCCTAGTGAACTCTTGAACTGGCCTTGTGGCCGCTTGCTTGCGCTCGGAATTTGTGTGGTGTCCTTGAGATCCACCCTGAGCTTGTCTTGGTTCTTGCTTTGACTGGTCTTGTGACCGTTTGTTCACCTTGCTTGCTTTGATGCCCCTCACTTAGCCTATGGGGGTGTGTCAAATGTTGAACATTGATATGATAGGCTGTAGTGAGTTGCACTCTAGGGGGTACAGTTTCTAGGGTTGCTTATTTGTACCCCATTCGTTTCTATTCCAACTATTCCGTTGCTAACCACTCTTGAGAATGAAATGTTAGTGTATCAGCTGAGTCAGCTGAATTTCACGTGCTCGTACATGCTGGAACGTAACGCGCTGAAGCTGGCGTTGGTTCTAGGTATTGCTGCTCCAAAGCGCATGTTTCTTGCTCAACGTTTCTTGCTCCCTCGATGCCCACTATCGCGAGGAGGTCGAACACCATTCAAGCAACAGATTCCGTTTCTTGTTTCAGTCATCTCGTTCTTGCTTCTCTATTCTTGAATCTTATCAAAGCTTCTCGTTTCTACCAAGATTGTTCAAACTTTGGCAGAGCAGTACTAGGTTCAGTTTCGTTCTTTGGTAAAGACCTTCAACAATAGTCTCCTCTCCCGTCCCTCATCAATTGCTCCGGTAGGTGCTACTAGCGCTGGCGGGGCGTTTGGCGCCATCAAGGCTGGCGCCTTGAGGCAGGCGCCTTGGCGCCATTTCCGCTGGCGCCTTGGCGCCATTTTCGCTGGCGCCTTGGCGCCTTTTTCGCTGGCGCCTTGGCGCCCTCTTTAGCTGGCGCCTTTGCGTATTTTTCGCTGGCGCCTTTTTCGCTGGCGCCTTGGCGCATGTTTCGCTGGCGCCTTGCGCGCTGGCGCCTTGATCGCTGTAGGCGCTGGCGCCAAAGCGCGAAGGCTGCATCGTCCTTGCTTCGTTTTTGCTCACGTTTGTCACTCTCGCTGTTTCCGTCCCTTCTCATGCCCCATCCAGTCCTCTACCACGTACACCTTTCTGTATTGTTGCACACCAATTGCTGATTTCATGCCTCTTTCTTCCCCCCACCAATCACTTCCATGATCCATCCCCTCCTCTAAGCTTCTTATTTAAGCTTCGTTGCAAGGTCAATTTTAAGTTCATCAAAATTTCACATCATTTATTCTCTCTAACCTCCCCTTTCCGATATGCCATTCCTTCTCCCCACTCAGCTTTGTCCCCAACAAGTGGCTAACAGGGCCACCTTCCGCCTCTGTCCGCCCTCCGCCAACCTGTTCCCATGTGAGTTTCATATGCGCCTTTTTAGGCCACTTTCACGTGAGCTAGTAGACTTAGCTGCGTGCGTGAGTGCGCGCATAGGAGAGTAAGAAGATAAGTGTTTGAGTGAGTGCGAAGGTGAATGTGTGGCTGAGTTCAAACGTGAATGCTTGTGTGAGCGCATGGATGAGTGTGTGGTTGAGAGCGTGAGTGAGTTAGAGACTGAGTGCATGGCTGAGTGGTGGCTGAGTGAGTGAGGGAGTGCGTGGCTGATTGCAATGGTGAGCGCGAGAGTGAGTGCGTGGGTGAGTGATTTGCTGAGTGAGATTGTGAGTGTATGAGTGGGTGTGTGGCTGAATGCAAAGGTGAGTGTTTGGTGAGTGCATGGGTAAGTGCGTAGGTGAGTCCGAGAGTGAGTGCGACGGTGAATGCGATGGCGTGACAAAGCGCGAGTGAGTGCTAGGCTGAGTGAGTGTGTGAGCGAGTGCGTGGGTGACTGCAAAGGTGAGTGAGAGGGTGAGTGCCGACTTTGTGCGTGAGGGAGAGGTTGAGTGCAAGGGTAAGTGCGTGAGCGAGTGTGTGGCTTAGTGTGAAGGCGAGTGATTGGCTGAGTGCGAGGGTCAGTGCGTGGCCGAGGGTGAGTGTGTGACTGAGCGCAACGATGGGTAAGTGGCTGATTGCCTGGGTGAGCAAGTGTGTGGTTGACCGTGAGTGAATGTGCGAGTGAGTGCGAGTGCGAGTGCGAGGTGAGTGCGAGGGTGGGTGCGAAAGCGAGTGCATAAGTGAGTGCGTGGATGCACGAGTGAGTGCATGGCTGTGTGCGAGAGTGGTAGAGTGAGAGAGTGAGTGAGTGAGTGGGTGAGTGAGTGGGTGAGTGCGTGAGTAGCTGAGTGCGAGAGTGAATGCGTGGTTGAGTGCGTGGCTTAGGGAGTGAGTGCGTGCGTGCATGAATCGGTCGGTGAGTGCGAGGGTAAGTGCGAGGGTAAGCGCTTCAGTGGGTGTGCGGCTGAGTGTAAGGGTGAGTGCATGTGCGAGTGTGAGGGTAAGTGCGAGCGTGAATGCGTGCGTGAGTGCGTAGGAGAGAGCATGGCCGACTGCAAGGATGAGTGAGTGATTAAGTGCGAGAGTGCGTGCGTTGCTGATTGCGAGAGTGAGTGCGTGATGGGTTGCGTGGCTGACTGCGTGATTGAGTGCGTGGGTGAGTGCGTGGTATGGTGCATGGCTGAGTGTGTGGTCGAGTGAGTGGCTGAGTGCGTGGCTGAATGCGAGAGTGGCTGCTAGGCTGAGTGAGTGAGCGAGTGCGTGGTGGACTGCAAAGAGTGAGGGTGGGTGCCGAGTGCGTGCTCGAGGGCGAGAGAGAGTGCGAGAGTGAGTGCAACGGTGAGTGCAAGGGTGAGTGCGTGAGTGAGTGTGTGGCTTAGTGTGAAGGTGAGAGATTGGCCGAGAGAAGTGTGTGGCAGTCTGCAAAGGTGTGTGAGAGGGTGAGTGCGTGGGTGCGTGAACGAGTGCAAGGGTGGGTGCGAGGGAGAGTGCGGGATTGATTGCACGATCGTGGAAGTGAGTGCGTGACTGAGTGCGGTGTGCGAATGCGTGGCTGAATGTGTGGGTGAATGCGAGGACGAGTGTGTGACGGAGTGCAAGTGTGAAAGCATGATTGGGTGCAAGGGTGAGTGAGTGATTGAGTGCGAGAGTGACTGCGAGAGTGAGTGCTCGGCTGAGTGCGTGGCTGAGTGAGTAAGTGAGTGCGTGGCTGACTGGAAATGTGAGTGAGAGGGTGAGTGCGTGCGGGAGTGCGAAGGTGAGTGCGTGAGGTGAGTGACTGGCTGATTGTGAATGTGAGTGATTGGCTGATTGTGAATGTGAGTGATTGACTGATTGTGAAGGTGAGGATTGGCTGAGAGTGAGGGTGAATGCGAGGGTGAGTGTGTGTCTGAGTGCGATGATGAGTGAGTGGCTGAGCGTGTGAGTGTGTGATTAAGTGCTTGGCCGACTGCGTGATTGAGTGCGTGACTGAGTGCGAGGGTGGATGCGTGAGTGAGTGCGTGGGTGCATGAGTGCGTGGATGCATGAGTGAGTGCATGGTTGAATACGAGGGTGAGTGCGCGAGAGTGGCTGAGTGGGCTAGCGCGTGGCTGAGTGAGTGAGTGAGAGAGTGAGTGACTGGGTGAGTGCGTGGTTGAGTGAGTGAGAGAGTCAATGAGTGGGTGAGTGCGTGGTTGAGTGAGTGAGAGAGTGAGTGAGTGGGTGAGTGAGTAGGTGAGTGCGTGGGGCTATTTATGCAAATGAGTGTCGCTTTCTGCGCTGGCGCTTAGAGTGCCGGCTTCTAAGGTGTTGGCGCCTCAGACGCTCGTCTAGGCTGGTGGCAACTAATGAGCTAGTGCCTACCACGCTCGCGCAGCGGGCTCTAAAGTTTGGGCGCTAGCACCTAGTGTGCTGAGCCATGTGGAGCTCGTACCTGAAGCGCTAGCGTCATGGCCTTGGACGCCTAGCCACCAACCCTGGGATGCTTACTGCTTAAGGCGGACGGATGCGTTGCCGCGCGCTGGCGCCTTTCTGGAGCTCATCGGCGCCTCGCAATGCACTCGTGCACTGCAGTGCACTGGCGCGTTTCTGCTATGCGTTGACGCCTTCTGCAATGCATGTGAGGGAGTGTGATTTGTATTTCTTGCTTGGCCTCCTGTAAGAGCATGTGTGTTGCGGTATCCTATTTTTGCTTTCTTGTACACAGTGTATGAACATCCACTGATTTTTGTGCAAGGTGTGTTTTTCTTTCTTTGTTCTTGCTTTCTTGTGCAGGGCGTGCGTGTGTTGTCTTCCCTGCTTTAACTTTGTGCAGGGCGTGTGTGTGTTGACTTCCCTGTTTTTTCCTGGGCGTGTGTGTGTTGACTTCTCTGATTTTGCTTTGTGCAGGGCGCATGCGTGAGCTGAGAAGGGAGATGAGGGAGTGGGATGGAGATGAGGGAAGGAGGGAGGGAGGGCTGTAGGGAGGGTAAGGTGGGATAGGTTAGCAATTATTTATGCATTTCTGAATTTGATTTATGACGATTGTGTGTTTATTACGGTACCTGTATCCCTCTGTGCTTGTTTGCGTGCGTGTTCATGTCTGTTCGTTCTGTTTGTTTCACTGTGGGGTTGCATTTCTATGCGTTCACAACCGTTTCGTGGTGTTGTACATTTTTTACGTGCGCTTGCATTCGTGTTTGTGGGATGTGTGTTTCAGAGTGTGGTGTTACTGTGTGTCATATATGCAATTAGAGGTTGTTAATCGTCTTTGGGGCAGCGGGTTTTCGCTGTTTCAACGACCCCATCAACCTCTGTTGCTGCATGATGCATTTTAACATTCACTTTGAAGCATCCACTCCACCTCATACATTGTTGTTCATTTGTACAATTGCATTCGTTCATGTTGATTCCAGAATATTATGCTCGGCCGTACGATCCGCCGTATTTATCGACGAGGTTGGGACGGTCGAGCAAGTTCATGGTTTCAACATGATACGTACGTGCGTTCCGGTATTTGGTTTTACATATGGGGATCTCATTCAAGAGTGTTTTTTATCCATTATTTGAGGCATCCGTTTGAACACATATTCAAAACATTTCAAACGGGTGCTCCAAAAAGTGTGTAAATATCACTCTTCAAATGATATCCCCAAAATGTCAAACCAAATATATAGGGTTGCTACGCAACCCAAAAAGTTTCAGTGCCTCCCTCTGCGCTGGCAGAAAATTTGTCGCCAGCTCCAAGACAACCCCAACCAAGCCCATGAAGTACAGTGTCCGTCCCTTTCACAGCTGTCAACAATCTCTTTTCTTGGTTCTTGTTCTTGGTTCCTCTCGACAAGCACCTTTCCTCCCCACCCCACCCCAATTCCTTCTCCAACCCAACCCCACCCCAATTTCTTCGCGACTCCCTACCTAGCTACTCTTCTTCGCGACTCCCTTCCTAGCTACTCTCCTACTCTCCCTGTTAGTAACACCCCAATGTCGCCAGTACCTCCCACCCAGCCGTCGCCTCTCCCTCCTCCCCGCCGTCGCCTCTCCCTCCTCCCCGCCGTCGCCTCTCCCTCCTCCCCGCCGTCGCCGCTCCCTCCTCCCCGCCGTCGCCGCTTTCTCCTCCGCGCCGTCACCTCTCCCTCCTCCCCGTCGTCGCCTCTCCCTCCTCCCCGTCGTCGCCTCTCCCTCCTCCCCGCCGTCGCCGCTCCCTCCTCCCCGCCGTCGCCGCTCCCTCATCCGCGCCGTCGCCTCTCCCTCCTCCCCGCCGTCGCCTCTCCCTCCTCCCCGCCGTCGCCTCTCCCTCCTCCCCGCCGTCGCCGCTCCCTCCGCGCCGTCGCCTCTCCCTCCTCCCCGCCGTCGCCTCCGGCGACAGGTGCCCGGAGCGCAAGCGCGGGTTAGTGCGCGAGCGCGGGTTGGTGAGCGAGCGCGGGTTGGTGAGCGCGGGTTGGTGCCGAGCGCGGGTTGGTGCGCGAGCGCGGGTTGTTTTCTGAGGCACCGTGGTTATCAGGTGCGTTCCCGGTCCTTTCATCCTACTTCCCCCTCTGAAATTTCCTTTTTTTTTGCTCTCTCCGTAATTTTTGTGTGTCAATTGGTCTCCTCTTGCATTGCACTTTTATTAAACGAAGGGGAGAGACGGAGCGGGAGGGAGAGCGTGTGTACGAGAGCGAACGCGCATGAGAGAGCGCGTGAGAGAGCGCGCGAGAGAGAGCGCGAGAGAGCGTGCGAGAGAACGCGTGAGAGCGCGCATGAGAGAGAGCGTGAGGTTGCGTATGAGGAAGCGCGTGAGAGAGCGCGTGAGAGAGAGAATGCGCGTGAGAGTGCGCAAGAGAGAGTGTGCGAGAGTGTGCCTGAGAGTGTGCGTGAGAGTGCGCGTGAGAGTGTGCGTGAGAGAGCGCGTGAGAGAGCGCGTGTGAGAGCGCGTGTGAGAGAGCGTGAGAGAGCGCGTGAGGGAGCGCGTGAGGGTGCGCATGAGAGAGCGCGTGAGAGGGCGCGTGAGGGTGCACATGAAAGAGCGCGTGAGAGAGCGCGTGAGAGAGCGCGTGAGGTTGCGTATGAAAGAGCGCGTGAGAGAGCGTGTGAGAGAGCGTGAGAGTACGCGTGAGAGAGCGCGTGAGAGAGCGCATGAGAGAGAGAATGCGCGTGAGAGTGCGCATGAGAGAGCGCGTGAGAGAGCGCGTGAGAGAGAGAATGCGCGTGAGAGTGCGCAAGAGAGAGTGTGCGAGAGTGTGCCTGAGAGTGTGCGTGAGAGTGCGCGTGAGAGTGTGCGTGAGAGAGCGTGCGAGAGAGCGCGTGAGAGAGCGCGTGTGAGAGCGCGTGTGAGAGAGCGTGAGAGAGCGCGTGAGGGAGCGCGTGAGGGTGCGCATGAGAGAGCGCGTGAGAGGGCGCGTGAGGGTGCACATGAGAGAGCGCGTGAGAGAGCGCGTGAGAGAGCGCGTGAGGTTGCGTATGAAAGAGCGCGTGAGAGAGCGTGTGAGAGAGCGTGAGAGTACGCGTGAGAGAGCGCGTGAGAGAGCGCATGAGAGAGAGAATGCGCGTGAGAGTGCGCATGAGAGAGCGCGTGAGAGAGCGCGTGAGAGAGCGCGTGAGGGACCGCGTAAGAGAGCGCGTGAGGGTGCGCGTGAGAGAGCGCGTGAGAGAGCGCATGAGAGAGCGCGTGAGAGAGAGCGTGAAAGAGCGCGTGAGAGAGCGTGAGAGTACGCATGAGAGTGCGCGTGAGAGAGCACATGAGAGAGCGAGTGAGAGAGAGTGCGCGTGAGAGTGTGCAAGAGAGTGCGTGTGAGAGTTTGTGTGAGAGTGCGCGTACGAGAGCGCGTGAGAGAGCGCGTGAGAGAGCCCGTGAGAGAGCGTGTGAGAGAGCGTGTGAGAGAGTGCGTGAGAGAGAGCGTGAGAGAGCGAGTGAGAGAGCACGTGAGAGACCGTGTGAGAGAGCGCGTGAGAGAGCGCGCGAGAGAGCGCATGAGAGAGCGCGCGAGAGTGTGCGTGAGAGAGCGCGTGAGAGAGCGCGTGAGAGAGCGCAGGAGTGAGCGCGTGAGGGAGCGCGCGAGAGAACGCGTGAGAGAGCGCGTGAGAGAGCGCGTGAGAGAGAGAGAATGCGCGTGAGAGAGCGCGTGAGAGAGCGTGCGAGAGTGTGCCTGAGAGTGCGCGTGAGAGTGCGTGTGAGAGTGCGCGTGAGAGTGTGCGTGAGAGAGCGTGCGAGAGAGCGCGTGAGAGAGCGCGTGTGAGAGCGCGTGTGAGAGAGCGTGAGAGAGCGCGTGAGGGAGCGCGTGAGGGTGCGCATGAGAGAACGCGTGAGAGAGCGCGTGAGAGAGCGCGTGAGAGAGCGCGTGAGAGAGAGAGAATGCGCGTGAGAGAGCGCGTGAGAGAGCGTGCGAGAGTGTGCCTGAGAGTGCGCGTGAGAGTGCGTGTGAGAGTGCGCGTGAGAGTGCGCGTGAGAGAGCGTGCGAGAGAGCGCGTGAGAGAGCGCGTGTGAGAGCGCGTGTGAGAGAGCGTGAGAGAGCGCGTGAGGGTGCGCATGAGAGAGCGCGTGAGAGGGCGCGTGAGGATTCGCATGAGAGAGCGCGTGAGAGAGCGCGTGAGAGAGCGCGTGAGAGAGCGCGTGAGGTTGCGTATGAAAGAGCGCGTGAGAGAGCGTGTGAGAGAGCGTGAGAGTACGCGTGAGATAGCGTGTGAGAGAGCGCGTGAGAGAGAGAATGCGCGTGAGAGAGAGAATGCGCGTGAGAGAGCGCGTGAAAGAGCGCGTGAGGGACCGCGTAAGAGAGCGCGTGAGGGTGCGCGTGAGAGAGCGCGTGAGAGAGCGCATGAGAGAGCGCGTGAGAGAGAGCGTGAAAGAGCGCGTGAGAGAGCGTGAGAGTACGCATGAGAGTGCGCGTGAGAGAGCGCATGAGAGAGCGCGTGAAAGAGAGTGCGCGTGAGAGTGTGCAAGAGAGTGCGTGTGAGAGTTTGTGTGAGAGTGCGCGTACGAGAGCGCGTGAGAGAGCGCGTGAGAGAGCCCGTGAGAGAGCGTGTGAGAGAGCGTGTGAGAGAGTGCGTGAGAGAGAGCGTGAGAGAGCGAGTGAGAGAGCGCGTGAGAGACCGTGTGAGAGAGCGCGTGAGAGAGCGCGCGAGAGAGCGCGTGAGGTTGCGTATGAAAGAGCGCGTGAGAGAGCGTGTGAGAGAGCGTGAGAGTACGCGTGAGAGAGCGTGTGAGAGAGCGCGTGAGAGAGAGAATGCGCGTGAGAGTGCGCGTGAGAGAGCGCGTGAGAGAGCGCGTGAGAGAGCGCGTGAGGGACCGCGTAAGAGAGCGCGTGAGGGTGCGCGTGAGAGAGCGCGTGAGAGAGCGCATGAGAGAGCGCGTGAGAGAGCGCGTGAGAGAGCGCGTGAGGTTGCGTATGAGAGAGCGCGTGAAAGAGCGCATGAGAGAGCGTGAGAGTACGCATGAGAGTGCGCGTGAGAGAGCGCGTGAGAGAGCCCGTGAGAGAACGTGTGAGAGAGCGTGTGAGAGAGTGCGTGAGAGAGAGCGTGAGAGAGCGCGTGAGAGCGCGTGAGAGAGCGTGTGAGAGTGCGCGTGAGAGAGCGCGTGAGAGAGCGTGTGAGAGCACGTGAGAGTGTGCGTGAGAGCTCACGTGAGAGACCACGTGAGAGTGCGCGTGAGAGTGCACGTGAGAGTGCGCGTGAGAGTGCACGTGAGAGTGCTCGTGAGAGTGCGCGTGAGAGTGCTCGTGAGACCCGAGAGACGCGTGAGAGTGAGCGTGAGAGTGAGCGTGAGAGTGCGCGTGAGGGTGCGCGTGTGGGTGCATGTGAGGGAGCGCGTGAGGGAGCGCGTGAGGGAGCGTGAGAGAGCGCGTGAGAGAGCGCATGAGCATGCTGGGGCGTATGCACTAGCATCTATTCTGCTGGTGCTTGGGCAACTTGGGCTACTGATACAAATGAGTGTCGCTTTCTGCACTAGCGCTTAGAGTGCAGGTTTCTAAGGTGTTGGCGCCTCAGACGCTCGTGCAGCGGGCTGTAACGCTTGGGCGCTGGCATGACACCTAGTGTGCCGTGCCTGAAGCGCTAGCGTCATGGCCTTTGGCCTTTTTGCTTTCTTGTACCAGTGTGTGAACATACACTGTTTTTTGTGCAAGGTGTGCTGTTGCTTTCTCTGTTCTTGCTTTCTTGTGCAGGGCGTGTGTGTGTTGACTTCTCTGTTTTTCCTTTGTGCAGGGCATGGGGGTATTGACTTCTCTGTATTTGCTTTGTGCAGGGCTTGTGTGTGTTGACTTCTCTGTTTTTGCTTTGTGCAGGGCGTGTGTGTGTTGACTTCTCTGTTTTTTCTTTGTGCAGGGCGTGTGTGTGTTGACTTCTCTGTTTTTGCTTTGTGCAGGGCGTGTGTGTGTTGACTTCTCTGATTTTGCTTTGTGCAGGGCGTGTGTGTGTTGATTTCTCTGATTTTGCTTTGTGCAGGGCGTGTGTGTGTTGATTTCTCTGATTTTGCTTTTTGCAGGGCTCGTGAGCTGAGAAGGGATATGAGGGAAGGAGGGAGGGAGGGAGGGTTGTAGGGAGGGTAGGTGGGATAGGCTAGCAATTATTTATGCATTTCTGATTTTTATTCATGACGGTTGCGTGTTTATTACGGTATCTGTATCTATCTGCGGTTGTTTGCGTGTGTGTCAGTGTGTGCCTGTGCTTATGCGTGTGTGTATGTGCGCGTGTGAGCCCGTGTGTGCGATATGTGCGTTTGTCTGTTTGCACCTGTCTGTCTCGTGTATGCAACTGATGTCTGATGTTAAAGTGTGTCGGGTCTGCATTTGAGGTGGGGATCGTTGTTGGGGCGGCGTTGCTTGCCTTAGCATACCGGAACCACCACTGTTGTGGCACCGATGCATTTTAGCCTTCACTCGCAGTTGTTATGTGCTGTTTTTGCACGTGTTGTGCAACTGAGGTGTGATGTTAAAGTGTATCGGGTCTGCATTTGAGGTGGGGATCGTTGTTGGGGCAGCGTTGCTCGCCTTAGCATACCGGAACCATCTCTATTGTAGCACCGATGCATTTTAGCATTCACTCGCAGTTGTTATGTGCTGTTTTTGCTCGTATGCACATCGTTTGCATTCATGACCAGTGGGTTTTTTTTTTCTCGTCAATTGTGTTTGGTGTGAAGACCCGTTGTTCCATTCGCCGTATTTATGGAATGATAGGTCACATTTGGTTTCACTTTTTTGGAGACTCATGTGTTCAGTGCTGTCATCTCCACACATTTGAAACACTCGTTATCAAAACGTTGAAACGAGTGGTTTGGACGTTGGGAAAAATGACAAAAACTGCATTGTTCATTTGAGTCGACCGAAAAGTGCTACCAAATGTATAGGGTTGCTACGCAACCCAAAAATTGTATTAAGATATGTGCTACGAGGGGATAAAAAGCCGTGTTAGAAACCAGTGTGTGTATCACGAACCATTTCTGAAGCGTACAGAGGGTGTAGATCCAATCCAACCACGTAAGTTGATGAGTGTCCTCCGTCAGCTCGTCATCCTGGTCCAGTCACCAGCACGGCACATGAAAAGTGTTTCAGAAAAAATCATTCAGACCAGCCATTGTTGCCAAAACCTGTCACCCTACCATCATCTTCAGCCTATATATGTCGAGCGATCGACAAGCAGCCGTACCTCTCTGAGTTTCATAATTTCGCATTTCTCTTTCCAGTGCATACATTGTCTCTGGATGTCATTTCCCGAGTCTCTTCGACAGCATGTCTCGGATTGGACGACCACGGTGGCTGCTGGCATTCCAGACAATTTCCAGAAAGCCGTCATCAATTTCACATTACCCGATGTCTCTGCGATAAGATGGCCCTTTGAGCTCTCGGAGAAAGATTCAGCAACAGCCGCTACTGCAAAAACGCCAGAACCTTCCGGTACTGGAGCCCGATGGACGGGTCTGTTTCCGAACAAAAGTAGCAACGGGAACGGCGGCAGCATCTGGAATCGAGGGGCTGGTTCTAGTGTTACTGGGAAAAACGACAGACCTAGGGGTAACGCAGGTGGTAGCAGCAATGGCGGCGACGGACGGAGGAGCGCCTGGGAGGACAATATGCGCCAGCAATTGGCGGTTTGGCGAGCCGATCCCGAGTGGGAAGACGAGCAGCCGAAACTCGAGGTAGGCGGGAATAACGGTAACGTATTCATGATCCATGCAAGTGTGAATGCTGCCATCTCCCCTGGCGGCAGAAGATGCCGCCACTTCACTACTGACTGTTGCCACATGCTCATTCTCCTCTCCGCCCTCGCCCTTCTTCTCCCATTTTCTGCTCCACCATACCGCCCGTACTCTGTATCTTCCTCCTCCTTCACCTCTCCCGCCGTCACTGCATTGTTGCGTGTCTTGCATTCAGAGCCTTCCTTCCTTCCTTCATCGCTCTTTTGCTCGTCTGAACGTCAGACCTTGTCATGAGCACACACTCCCTGCCCCCTGGTTTGGCCCTCTTTATTGTCACCCTGTTACAGGTATCCGTCCCGAAGGGCTCCTTCTGCCGAATGGACGCGCAGTTCCTGCTTGCCCTGCCCCCGGACCTCGTTTATAGCACACTCTGCGACCCCAGCAATCGAAGAGTCTTCAAGAATATCACGGTGGGTGGGTGGGTGTAGGATTTCATAACTCGATGGGTCTGTGGGTTCTTTTCGCTCATTTGTGTGGGGGTTGAGAAGGAGGGGAAATGTAGGCGATGTGCCCATGTATGTATTTATGCACAGTTGTGTGCCTGTATGCGCCTATGTGCCTGAATAAACGGGGGAAGATACTAAGGAAGAAGGAAATGAATACATCAGGAAGGAAGAAAGACACAAAATGGGAGGAAGAAATGGAGGGGCGTGAAAGGAATGGGGCATTCTGTCACTACAACAGCAGCTGGCATGTGTTGTAAGGCAATTGCAAGGTGCGACACCCTTAAAGCCAAGTGCGTTGACTGATACTACCTTAGAACTTACCAACTCCGCTCTCCTGATTTCGTTTCTGACCCTGATTTCGTTCGAGGCCTGACTATGCCCCTGTTTGTCAGTCTCATTCATAAGATGCTTACAATCTCGTGAAATCCCTTGGCATAATGTTAAAGGATACTTTGTAGCATGGTATGATACGGGGCTGCACTGCACGACATGGGGCATACTATGGGCATGTCATGGGGCTTAGCCTGACATGGCATGGGACATTGCATGAAATGATGACAAGGGGCATGACCTGGCATGGCATGGGTCATGGCCGGACATGGGGCATGGCATGCCATGACATGGGGCTGTGCATTATACACGGCACATGGCACATGGCAGGATGTGAGCTACCGCAATGTGCTGTACGATGATGGGGACGTGCAGGAGGTGGAGCTGCAGCAGGGAGGCAGGTGGCGCTTCCTCTTCCTCTTCCTCTTTCCTCTCGGGAACCTCAATGTGCTGTACGACATCTCACATTACGCATGGCAGGATTTGATGTGAGCTACCGCAACGAGGTGACTTTTGAGTTGACTCAAAAGTCACCCGGTGGCGCTTACTCTTCCTCTTAGGAACCTCAATGTGCTGTACGGAATCCCACGTGGCACATGGCAGGATGTGAGCTACCGCAATGTGCTGTACGACGATGGGGACGTGGAGGAGGTGGAGCTGCAGCAGGGAGCCAGATGGCGCTTCCTCTTCCTCTCTGGAACCTTTGACGTGCGCCTGAGAGTCAAGCAGGACCGACCCAACCTCAAGGTACATTCATTGGCCAGAAAAGATGCAATTTCCCTGCATTTCACATGTCACGAGCTGGTGTCTCACGTGGCGGTTCATCTTTTTAGTATTCACTTTGCCGTCATGTCTTGGTGGCTTTGTCAAACACATGTGTTTCTCTCCCTTTCTTTTACCAGATGTCGTTTAAACTTATAAGGCCCGGATTCATGAAGCAGTTCGAGGGTTATTGGCAACTCGTGCCGCTGGTTGTCCCTCCCTCTTCCTTTCTTCCTCCCTCCACCATACTTCCTTCCTCCTCCGCCCCTTCTCCTCACTCCCCCACGGCCCGCTCTGCTCGCCCCCCCGCACCCCACTCTGCCCGCCTGGCTTCCCACACCCCCACATCAACCTCTTCATTAGCACACTCGGCAAAGTCAACTACTGATGGCCCCGCTGATGCCGTCGCAACCAATGAGAACGGGCCAGCTGGCAGCTCTTCTCCACGAGCCTTTTTCGGCTACTTGATAAATGAGCGCCAACCGCACCACCACCACCATCCCCAGAACCCGATGCGGGTGGCCACCAGAGTTGAGCTTTGTCAGGTAGTGCAGCCCACACTCTCTCCGCCACCCATTTTGTCGCACTACTTGCGAGGCATCAGCACACAGATCACTCGAGACATGCTCAAGGATTTTCAGACCGAAGCCGCCCGGATCAGGTATGATCTTCCAGTCGATGCTGATGTGGAAAAGGAGTTGGAGAAGATCCGGAGCGAGAGTGGCAGAGAGGAGAAGGAAGGGAATGCCGGCCAGAGGAGGAGTGAGGGTGAGCAGAGAGAGGGAAGGGTTCGATGGAGGGATGAGGTGAAGAAAAGGGTGAGGGGGAAAAAGGCAGGCCCTGGTAGGGCAATCCAGGAAATTGATGGGCAAATAAAGGGGGGCGCTGGGAAGAGTCGTCATGCATTGATGAAGTTATCGGTGAGAGAAGGGTGGTAGAACGGGGGTGGTAGTATTGGATGCAGTTAATTCACTTCCTGTTAAGGTCACATTGGCCTTTGCAGCAGAGTCCATCAGACTGGTTTGGTGGTCTGAACAACTCCTTCCCTTTGCGAAGGCATGTTTGTCAGGCCTTTTGATTAATTTAATTATACTTTGGTATTACGAGTATACTTTACAGGCCAGACAAGTAAGGTAGTAATCTGAGTAAATGTTGGTCTGGTCAAGGGTTGGTTGCTATGCTAGAGATTCCTTGGATGATTATGTATCGTGAAGGATACTACAGTCCAATTTCATCTAACAAGTATAAGAACTCCACGAAACTTGCATGTCACACTGCCACATCATTCTCTCTTTTAAATCTCGGCAACCAATCGCAGCTCCCCACCACAGCGGCCGCCACGAGCCCCCAGATCAACTGGATTGGGACCAGCGATCCACTGGCGCACCCGACCAAACCACCTCAGTGCGCCACCATGATCCCGCGTCCGCATGCGTTACGGAATTGTAACTGGGATTTGTTTCCTCCCCCACCAAATTGCGCATTTCCCCGTCTCAGCCTTCCGCCCACGCTGTCTACAACCGCTTCCCGAGTCCCAGCTCCAATCCACGTTAGATTTTTTCCTCCCCCGCTTCCCCGTATGTCTGAAGTGAGAACCCTTTCCCCGCAAACCTCTGCTTCTGAAAACCCTTCTCCGCCGATGCCCCTGCTCCCCCCACCCACCACCTTGGGTGTATCACTGAGCGGAATCAGCAGACGAACTGCTTGCTTTGTGCAGTGAAGCCAGTCAGCAGCAGCCGAGGTCTCATGTGCCATGCACAGAGCTTTTTCGCACTTCCATAAGTCGGAAGCAGTCTTTCTGCGCTGCATCTGTGAACGATCATTTTCGTACTCGTAGTGGAGGGTAGAGTCGACCTTCGGTTCTAAACGACGACATTAAGTTTCTTCCGTGGTTGTTAAACTCCTAGCCCATTAGTGGCATGGCGGCAACTTTGTCTGCACGCGCGTCGTCGTCTGCTTGCGCACTAGCTCGTGCAGGAGCTAGTTCAGAATCCCCATTCGTTAACTCCTCCGCTACACTCGTGCCGTTCAATGGCCTAAAAAAGAGCTCCCTGGTGCTTTCCAAGAAGGCCTTAGCCCGGCAATCGAAGCACCGAGCGGTTGTTTCAACCGGCGTGCGAGTGGTTGCAGAGGCTGCAGATTCAACTGTCGTTACCTCAAAGAAAGAAGGGGATTTCCGGCACGAGGCTCCTCGACAGGGTAGGCCTTCGGTTTTTGCAAAAGGCTGCACTTTATGTGTGAATAACAGTTCCCTGATTATCCTGGGAGTTGAATGGCCTAAACCCCGGTTACGCTAGGTACCTATGGGTCAAACCATGCTTCACCCTTCGGTTTTGAAGGTCAGCCAGAGGCATCTATTCCACCTGATTTGATTTGGAACACTGCCTTGCTAATTTGGACCGGAAGGCGTAGCATGATGGTCGCGATGTCTTGTTCTCTTTTCTTGCTGCCTCTTGTCTAAGTCTTTGTGCCCCGCCTCCCTTCGCTCTGACGCTGTTTCAGAGCTTGAAAGTCCTCAGAATGTGTTTTCTGCCAAGTACGTCCCGTTTTCTCCGGATCAGAAGCCAAATGAAGAGTATTCTCTAGACGAGGTCATCTACACCAGCAAGGACGGTATGCAACCCAACATGACAGTCTTCCTGACGCCGCCAAATATTTATGACATTATAATACTGGATTCGCGATGTCGTCGATGTCACGGGTCCCGACTGCAAGCATGCTAACGCATCGCTCAGACTATTAACGGGATTTCAGTGAAGAAGGAATGTTTTGTTTCACCAATCTAACGTGGCATGTTATCTGTGGTAATCTGTGCAGGCCTGCTGCTGGACGTGCAGCATGACTACGAGGCTCTGAAACGCTACGACGCCGCATACTGGAAGAAGCTCTTCGACTCCCGGGTCGGCAAGCACACGTGGCCTTACGGATCTGGAGTGTGGAGCAAGAAGGAATGGGTTCTCCCGGTAAGTCTTGACAGATTGTCTTACCGATGTGGTCGTCGCTCTGCTTTGAAACATATTGCTGTGTTGGTGTATCCATCCGTCGTATCGCATCGTACCATACTGTACTTACGACCGTTTCCTTTACGGGATTCGCGATGGATTCGCGATGGATGTGCAGGAGATCGACAACGACGACATCGTGAGCATGTTCGAGGGCAACTCGAACCTCTTCTGGGCCGAACGGTACGGCAAGGAGCTCGGAATGACCGACCTGTGGGTCAAGCAGTGCGGCAACAGCCACACTGGCTCCTTCAAGGTACGCTACACGGCTCATCTGTTCACTCACTTCCCCTGTCTCCAAATATTATTTCCTAACGTACACATTTCCTTGTCTCTACCTTCGTGGCCTTTGACCGCAGGATCTGGGCATGACAGTGCTCGTGAGTCAAGTGAATCGGCTGCGGAAGAAGAACATGCCGCTCGCAGCCGTCGGATGCGCCTCCACCGGCGATACCTCCGCTGCTCTCTCCGCCTACTGCGCTGCTGCCGGCATCCCCGCTATCGTCTTCCTCCCTGCTAACAAGTACGTGAACTTCGTGCTAGCCTTACCTTGATCCCTTGTCGGCTTGTTTTGCCTCGTCTTGTCGACCAGCACGGGTTTCCACGGATGCATGTGATCTCACCAACTGTCCGTCTGACACCTTTCCACTTGTCACCTCTCCCACCGTCTGTCTCTTCAGGATCTCTCTCGCGCAGCTGGTGCAGCCAATCGCGAACGGCGCTCTCGTCTTATCAATCGACACGGAGTTCGATGGGTGCATGCGGTTTCACTAACCTTCCCACTCACTCACCCTTCCCCCTGAAACCCATCCTCCGACAAACCCCTCTGTCTCGCAGGATCTCCCTCGCGCAACTCGTGCAGCCCATCGCGAACGGCGCTCTCGTGCTGTCGATCGACACGGACTTCGACGGGTGCATGCGGCTGATCCGCGACGTGACGGCGCAGCTGCCCATCTACCTCGCCAACTCGCTCAACTCGCTGCGCCTCGAGGGCCAGAAGACGGCCGCTATTGAGATTTGCCAGCAGTTCGAGTGGGAAGTGCCCGACTGGGTCATCGTGCCTGGAGGTGCGTTGACTTGCTTGACTCGTTGACTTATTGCTTTTCGCCTGGTCCTTCCACCCATACCCAATACCGCCCCTAACCCCGCCCCCAACCCCTCCTCCACCCTCACCCCCACCCCTCTCCCCTTCCGTCTTCCTGGCTCGTCTGATATTAGTGCTTCTCCGCTGCTCTGTCTTTCTCTCACACTTCCTGCTGTTTCTAACGTGCTCTGCCTCCGCTCTTGTCATTACATGCAATTTGGGCAACATCCATGTCTTGCACAACCCCTTTAGTAACCGAGTCAAAACAATGGCTTCCCTCTGACCTTCCCGTGGCATCCCTTCGTCCTCGCAGGCAATCTGGGCAACATCTACGCGTTCTACAAGGGCTTCTACATGTGCAAGGAGATGGGCCTCGTCGACCGCATTCCCCGCCTGGTGAGAAGAGCTTCTCGTCGCCGCCCTTTCCCTTCCGTGCACCATGCCCCATCTCCCCTCGTCGCTTCTCTCCCTTCTCTCCTCTTCTCCCCCATCCTCCTCTTCCACCACTCGCGATTTTATCGCCAACTGACCACGCTGTAAACGGGGCCGAGGATGATTTCAAAACATTGACAAGCATATGGCTGAATTACCGCCTGTTGATAAACCATGTTACTGAGACCCTGCTGATTCTGTTGTGAAGCTCTAGTCGAGAGAAGCTGTATGTGTTACCCCTTGCCTTTCCCCAGCTTCGTTATTCTTGCTTAACCGGGTAAGGGTATCAGTGTGGGGGGACCTTTCCCACTTCTTTTTTTCCTGCCTTCGTGCTTCCAACCGCCTGCTGGTTGTCAGGGGTGAGTTTGAGACCCTATTGCATCTCTAACTGATAGCTTCATGCGAGGGCCGTGGATGATAACAAAATAATTGACAAGCATATGGCTGAATTACTGCCTGTTGATAAACCTTGTTACTGAGACCCCGCTGCTTCTGTCCTGAAGCTCTAGTCGATAGAAGCCGTATGTTTAACCCCTTGCGTTTCTCCAGCTTCGTTGTCGTTGCTCCCCCTGGTAAGGGTACCAGTGTGGGAGGGTTTCTTCCATTTTCTTCTGGCCTTTGTGCCTCCAATCTTGTTCTGGTGTTGAGCGGTTTTGAGACTCTATAACACCTCTCAACCGGTAGCTTCGTCTTGTGAGGCCGTGGATGATTTCAAAATAATTGACAAGCATATGGCTGAATCTCCGCCTGTTGATAAACCACGTTACTGAGGCCTGCTGATTGGAAGCGTTGGAAGAGAAGAGTGAACCATGAGTTAGTTGGGTGGTCTTCGTTGTCGTTTGTCAGTTGGGGTGGTCATGTTGTCGTTTTTCTTCGTTTTCCTTTGTCGTCTCTTTCTTTCCTCCCTTGGAGCGGTCAGCGTGGCAGATGTTGATTGAAGTATGCATAGTTCAGATGAGACGCACTTGTGTGTCCGGGAAAACTTTATTTTCGCCCCTATCTGATGCCACCTCACCCACCTCCCACCTGTCACTGCTACTTCTGCTGCTCGTTTCTCTCCGTCCCTGTTTGTTTCCCCTCGTTCCCTCCTGTGCGTCTTTTAGTACGTCGTCTCTGTAGATTGGTTGATGCAATGAAGGGTTTTGGGTGATGCTTGGGTTTTGGGTGAGGCTTGGGTTTTGGGTGAGGCTTGGGTTTTGGGGGATGTTTGGGTGAAGGTAGGGATGCTGAATGAGGGCATGATGAGCATTTTCTTATCACACTAAGATTTTCTCATGTTGACTCTAAATGACTAAGGCGCTGACCCTTGTTATTGTTACTTGTGATGAGGTGGGATTCAATAGCCAGGTAGGGAGGAGGGGACGGGGCTAGAGAGGAGAAGGGAGGGTATGATGAGCACACTTTCACACAGTTATCCCTGACTGAACCACTATGTTGACTCATGAATTACTACGGTGCTGACCCTCGTCATTGTCACTGGTGATGAGGTGGGATTCTAGAACCCAGGGAGGGAGGGTATGCTGAGAGGGTTAGAGGGAGGGTATGATGAGCACTTTTTCATCACAGTTATCCCTGACTGAACATTCGTGTTGACTCATGAATTACTACGGTGCTGACCCTCGTGATTTAGTCGCTAGGTTTGGGAAGGATTTGCAGTTTGCTCTCAAGGTCTTGTCTGGGTTGTGTTGGGGTGGATTGGGTTGAGCCTACAAGTGTTTCTGTATCTGTCTCACTGCATCTTTTTTTTTTTTCCTTGTTTCTGGAAGGGGAATGATGAGCACACTTTCATCACAGTTATCCCTGGCTGAACTTTCGTGTTGACTCATAAATTACTACGGTGCTGACCCCTTCAGAGCTCGTTTTAAGTGTAAGATCATGCCCTTTTACCCCAGCCCCGAATGGCCTGTAACTTGACATATCTATGTGTCTCTCCCTGTTGCGCCCTCTCTCCGTCTCTCCCTCAACAGGTCTGTGCTCAGGCTGCAAACGCGAATCCGCTCTACCTGTCATACCAGAAGGGCTTTGAGCAGTTTGAGGCGGTGCGGGCAACACAGACCTTCGCGTCCGCCATCCAGATCGGCGACCCTGTGTCCATTGACCGAGCCATCTTTGCTCTCAAGGTGGGTACAGAAGGTTTTTCCTCGGCTATTCAGATCGGCGACCCTGTGTCCATCGACCGAGCTATCTTTGCGCTGAAGGTAGGCTGAGCTCTATGCACTCAATCTTGGCTCCGATTTCCCATGGTAAGATGTTCCCTGGGCCTGTGCTAGGTGTGTTTGCTTCATTCAAGCATGTTTGATCCTGTCCCTTTCCCTGACCAGGCATCCAATGGCATAGTGGAGGAGGCCACGGAGCAGGAGCTCATGGATGCTGCAGCAGAGGCGGATCTCACGGGCATGTTCAACTGCCCACACACAGGAGTGAGTGCCCTTTCCTGTTATGTCCGCTGTTATGAAGTGTTGCCATACCTCAGTTTTTCTACTCTTTATGTTTTCCCTCAGGGTGCATTGTGTCCGTGCTCATTACATTCCCTTCGCTCCTCTCTTCCCCCTCCTGCAGGTGGCCCTGGCGGCTCTGAAGAAGCTGCGCAGTCGGGGAGTGATTGGCCCCAATGATCGCACAGTGGTGGTCAGCACAGCACACGGCCTCAAGTTCGCCCAATCCAAGGTAAGCCAACGCAATCCTTTGGAAACACTGAAGTTCTTTCGGCAGTTACGGTACATCCCGAAATTGAAGTGTGATGTTCGGGGGCTGTTGCCGATTGAAATTCACACCTTTTAGCTTATTTTTCTGGGTATTGTTTTTTGTGCTGCTTTCAGGTGGCTTATCACTCGAATGAGATTCCTGGCATGGTGTCGACATTTGCCAATCCTCCTGTGAGCGTGAAGGACAACTTGGGAAGTGTTATGGATGTGTTGAGAGATCGCATTGCCAAGTAACATGATATATAGGCTACTAATACTTTATACAACAGCTTTGTAATAAGCAGAGCATTCTCGAAATCTCATTCTTGGATGGTACCGGTAGTGATCAGTCTCAAAAGTAGTAAGTCAAGTGTGCCGGTGTACAAAACTTATCTGAACTTGATTCTCCAGCGTATCGTCAACTGCCAGGGGATGGCAGTGGCGACTACCCTGCGAACACAATGCGACTTGTTTACCAGGCGAACCAATCGTTGCATCCAGAACTCTCGGAGTTCCGCCGAGTCTGACACGGGGAGCCATTGTCAGTGCAGTAACAGCACCGTGGCTTCTTGATCATCGCGGTCTGCATAACGAGTCCAGGTTCTGACCGACGACCTCTAACGGGAATAAAATGGAACATCGTTACTGTAGCAAGGGTGAGCGCATGGTGGGAGTGGAATCCTCATTCTGCCGAGTTGCAGTGGAACGGTTGAAAAAGATCACGCGGATTGTAAAGCGGTTTTAATGCTTCACCGCTTTGAACCACTTGCACGTAAACATAAAACGGCCAACACTACACGAATTGTATTCTGACCAACAAGAGAGTGTGTTAGTGAGCACGCAAAACAGGGCGGATATCTGCTGACAGGCGTTGCTGTTTACAAGGCGCCATATCTCGTGTTAGTCAGGCATCGGAGTGCTAGTTGATACCGTTTCTCATGCGCTGCTGCGCAATTTTTCTATCTTTCGAGCACATGCTTTTTCCCAGTTTATTGTCATGACTGCAGTAGCGTTCCGACCGCTTTCGTAGAATGCATGTTGCCTCAGACTCCCAGCATAAAGGTCGATTCGCGAATCGTCGTTTGAACGTTGATTAGTTGAAAGTTGAACTGTTGACTCTTGCTTAACCGTTGATTCGACCAGCTCGGAGATGCCGAGTCGCGGCTCTCGTTCTACTCCAGACTTGGACCAAGACAAACCGGTCGTTGCGGAAGGCCATGGCTTTTCGACTCTTTAGTAGTAACGGTCCCTGTCTTCTCGGCGGTTTCCGCGACAGTCGCACGCACAGGTCGCACGTGCCACGCTGTAGAAGCTGTTTCTCGCGGCGTCTGTAACCACACACGCAGTCACTTCGCGGAGGCTTCCGCGACAGTCGCACGTACCACGCTGTAGAAGCTGCTTCTCGCGACGTCTTTAACCACATCAATAACCACTTCGCGACGGCTTCCGTCGTAGAAAGCAGCCTCTTCTGATTATATATAATCTGAACGTTCGGACCAGCTTTGGAGACGTCAAAGGGAAGCTTCATTAGTCAACTAAAAGCCAGCCTTCTTACCAGCGGACAAGGCTAGGAGAGTATAATAAGCTGGATTGACAGTCGAATTGTCTGTAACCGGTCTGACAGTCGTTCGCTAGCCCAGTTAGCTATTCTTAACAGCTTTCATGTGGTTAAAATAAAATAACGCGCTTGCAAAAACAGCAGCATCGCGAGCCACTGAACCTCCCTAAAGCGCGTACAATAGTAGCTACGCTCATGGCACTTTCCAACCCTTGTCACGGCCGCAATCTTCAAACCCAGCATCGCAAACACCTCCTCCACACGCACCGTCGTCACAAAGCTGCATCCCCGTCCCACCACCCCCTCCAGTTCCCCTTCCTCCCCCTCCTTCTCCTCCTCCTCCTTCCAACCACCCCTTCTCCTCCCGGCTTCGGCGGCCAACTCTCTCGCGGGGTGCGTCTGGTCGCGGCTGCGCCCTTCCGCGTCACTGACGCTTACAAGCCCGTGTGCGGAGGTCTCCCTGCCAACCCCCCCCGTCACGGTGCGTGCTTTACACAATGCACCTCAAAACGCATGTGCGTATGGTTGCGGCTGCTCCGTTCCGCGTCACTGACGCATACAAGCCCGTCTGCGGAAGCCTCCCCGCAAATTCTCCCCGTCACGGTGCGTGCTTTACACAATGCACCTCAAAACGCATGTGCGTATGGTTGCGGCTGCTCCGTTCCGCGTCACTGACGCATACAAACCCGTCTGCGGAAGCCTCACCGCAAACCCCCCTCGCCACGGTGCATTATCAATCAAGGCACCACACATGCAAACCCGTCTGTGAAGGATTCTCCTGCAAATCCCCCCTCGCTGCTCTCCACGGAGCCTGGGAACGCGCCAGGCTCCGTTTCCAGGGTCCTTGAAGGCGCCTGGAGCGAGCGACCTTAGCACGTGGGGGCGGAACTCGCTGGTTCCATGGGCCCGATGCAAGAAGCTGATGGGTATTATGTCTCTCCTCCGCCCTTCACTCAGGATGGAAACGTTAAAGCGACCCCAGCACGTGGGGAAAGCAGTCCCTGGTGCCGTGGGGACACAAGGGATGGCCCTTCCGCCTGGGCGTGCCTGGGCGCGGACTGCTGCAGTGGCGGGAGCACTCTCTTCCCTTGCCGCCTGTGCCTGGCTCAAGAGGTTGACAGCTCCCTTTTTTTCTCACTCCTCCTCAATCCTACGGTCCCTCTATGTGTGTCTCGCAGGTTGGAAGCGGTGGAGCGACCCCAACACGTGGGGGGGGCAGTCGCTGGTACCGTGGGGGCACAAGGGGTGGCCCTTCCGCCTGGGCGTGCCGGGGCACGGTGTAGGAAGCTGATGATACTCTTACTTCTCTCTGCTTGTTTCGCAGGTTGGAAGCGTTGGAGCGACCCCAGCACGTGGGGGCGGCAGTCGCTGGTCCCGTGGGGGCACAAGGGGTGGCCGTTCCGCCTGGGCGTGCCTGGGCGCGGGCTGCTGCAGTGGCGGGACGTGACTATACCGTGTGGCGCGGCCATCCTGCTGGATGTGCCTGAAGTGAGGGTTGGGAAGCTCAAGATCAAGGGGTGGCTCAAGTGAGTGCGGGTGCGGGTGCTGTGAGTGTGATGTGAGTTTGACTGCTGTAGGATCGATTGGTGGTTCTCCCCCCCTCCCTCTGCTTGTGGCGCAGCCATCCTGCTGGATGTGCCTGACGTGCGGGTGGGGAAGCTCAAGATCAAGGGGTGGCTCAAGTGAGGGTGGGGAGGCTCAAGATCAAGGGGTGGCTCAAGTGAGTGCGAGTGTGTGAGTGTGAGTCTGCTGTGAGTGTAAGTGCTCTTCCCCTTCCCTGCCCCGCTCCCCCTCCCTCCCCGTGTGGCGCGGCCATCCTGCTGGATGTGCCTCAAGTGAGGGTGGGGAAGCTCAAGATCAAGGGGTGGCTCAAGTGAGTGTTGGTGCTTTGGGTTTGACTGCTGTAGGTGTGGTGTGTTGATACTGCTGGATGTGCCTGGAGTGAGGGTGGGGAAGCTCAAGATCAAAGGATGGCTCAAGTGAGTGCGAGTGCCTTAAGTGTGAGCACTGTGAGTCTGACTGCTGTAGGGTCCATCGGTAACGCTCCCCTCTCTTTCCCCCCTCACCGTGTGGTGCGGCCACTTTGCTGGATGTGCCTCAAGTGAGATGGGGAAGCTCGATATGGAACCTCTCAACCTGCTGGATTGATTGTGTGCCTCAACCTTTTTTGCATCGACCCACATTCAATCTTTCCCCCTTTTCACCCTCCTCCCCCCTCCCCCCTGCATCTCGTGCCCCCTCCCCTCCATCTCCTCTCTCCAGAGTCCTTGACTCACCCAAGCTGCCCCACGTCCACATCAGGGTCCGTTTCATCCTCGTTATAGGACGCTTCACGTCTAGCACCGACTCACGTTCGACCCTTTCCCCCTCCGTCTCCCCCCCACACTCCCATCATTCCCTCCATAAAGGGTTCTTGACTCACCCAAGCTTCCTAACATCCGCATCAGGGCCCGTTTCATCCTCGTTATGGGGCGCTTCACTGCAGGCTCCGCGTCCCGCCAGCTGTCCTCGCATCTGACGGTCACCCTGCACCCCAACACGGGATTCTCGGGCGGCAGGAAGCCGTACAAGCTCCGAAAAGTGCTGCCCGCTGACGCGAGAAACCCCCGAGACCTGGGTCACAAGGCGTTTGCTGTGGTACGTGTGTCTCCTCCTCCTCTCTCATCCTATTTTTTTCCTCCCCGCTCCGCTCTCTTCTCCCTCTCCTCCCTCTCCTCCCTCTCTTCCCTCTCCTCCCTCTCCTCCCTCTCCTCCCTCTCCTCCCTCTCCTCCCTCTCCTCCCTCTCCTCCCTCTCCTCCCTCTCCTCTCCCTCTCCTCCCTCTTCTCCCTCTCCTCCGTCTTCTCCCTCTTCTCCCTCTCCTCCCTCTCCTCCCTCTCCCCCCTCTCCTCCTTCTCCCTCCCTCTTCTCCGCATGCTCCTTCTACCCACACACACGCATGGGCTTGGTGTGGACCATGGGTGGGCATGTTGGGTGGGTAGGATTATGGACCCCCTTGTGGGTGCGATGCGACTGGAAGCAAAAGCAGCAGTAGGAGGAGCAGGAAGAGAGGCACCCGAACACACACCCCTGACTGCACCCATTCGTGCTTGTTTATGTCTGTGTTGCGTCGTCACACACGCCAGGTGGGAGGGCAGGTGGACCTGCATGGCATGCCGGGGGGGGCTTACACCCCTTCCTGGGAGCGACTGGCAGCAACAACAGAAGCAGGCAGAGGCACACAAGCACGCACTCCTGATTGCACCCGAATTCACCACTTAATGCCCCACTCCAGTCTGTTCCATCTCACATGCCAGGTGGGAGGGCAGGCGGACCTGCATGGCATGCCGGGGGGAGCTGAAACTCCTTCCTGGGTGCGACTGGCAGCAACAGCAGCAGCGGGGCAGAGGCAACTGGTGGTTGAGGGGGACGTGAGGGGGTGGCGCCCGGGCCTCTCTGTTGCTGTTGCCTCCACCAGCACGAATTTTAACGAGGCAGAGAGCCGGGAGATCGAATCAGGTGGGTTAATGTGTGTGTGTGTTAGGTGTAACGTGCAAGGGCGACAGCAGCAGCAAGAGGGCAGAGGCAGCTGACGGTTGAGGGGGATGTGAGCGGGTGGCGCGCGGGGCTCTCTGTTGCTGTTGCGTCCACCAGTACCGACTTTAATGAGGCAGAGAGCAGAGAGATTGAAGCAGCTGGGTTGTTGGGGGCACACAGGTACATGCAGGGACAGCAGCAGCAGCAGCGGGGCAGAGGCAGCTGACGGTTGAGGGCGATGTGAGGGGGTGGCGCGCGGGGCTCTCTGTTGCTGTTGCCGCCACCAGCACTGATTTTAACGAGGCAGAGAGCAGGGAGATTGAATCAGGTGGGTCAACGGGTTGCAGGTGTGCTTTGAGGCTATGCTGGGGCTTTTAAGGGCATGCAGCAGCAGCACCAGGGCTCATTTGTGCCCGATGGCTTTGGTGGCAGTGGCACCTTCAGTAGTTCTCCCACCCTCCCTTCCTGCTCCCCCTCTGCCTTCCCCCCTTCCCAACCCAACAGTCACCCTGGTCACCCCAACCACATCTCGCACCACCCTCACCGCACCCCTCGCCCACACGCACGAAGGCACATTGGTTTCGGTGGCACGGTGGATATCCGTCTTGGGCCACCGAACAGGAGCAGGGGTTCAAGCAGCGTCACCAAGCAGGCTTGAACCCCTGCTCCTGTTCCTACCGCCTTGGGCGTCAGTACCTCTTTTCAGTCCCCCCTTGCTCCATCCTCTCTTCCCCCAACTCAACAGTCACTCTGGTCTCCCCAGCCGCTTCTCGCATCACCCTCACCTCGCCCCTCGCCCACACGCACGAGGGCTCATCTGTGTCCCATCCTTCTCCCATCCCCTGTCATTCCCCCCCTACCTCCCCTCCCAACAGTCACCCTGGTGTCCTCAACCACTTCTCGCATCGCCCTCACCGCACGCCTCGCCCCTCCACTCCCTCCCACCCCATGCTCCCATCTCCCGTCCCCCCATCACAACAGTGGCTCTGGTCTCCCCACCTACCTCCCCGATCACCTCCCGCATCACCCTCACCTTGCCCTTTGAGACGCCCAAGAAAAACTCTCCCCTCTCCATTACCCCCAACACAACAGTTGCTCTGGTGTCCCCACCCACCTCCCCGATCACCTCCCCGATCACCTCCCCGATCACCTCCTGCACCCCTCGCCCACACACACGAGGGCACATCTGTGCCGGATGGTTTCGGTGGCACGGTGGACATCCGTGCCTTACCCTCCCCTCCTGCTCCCCTCCATCCTCCTCCCCCCTTCCCCCAACACACAACAGTCACTCTGGTCTCTCCGGCCACCTCCCCGATCACCTCCCGCATCACCCTCACATCACCCCTCACCCTAACACACGAGGGCACATCAGTGCCAGATGGCTTTGGTGGCACGGTGGACATCCGAGCTCATCAGTGCCCCACCCTCCCGTCCTGCTTCAATCCCCCCCCCCCACAAACACAACAGTCACTCTGGTCTCCCCGGCCACGTCCCCACCCACGTCTCGCATCACCCTCACCGCACCCCTCGCCCACACGCACGAGGGCACATCGGTGCCGGACGGTTTCGGTGGCACGGTGGACATCCGTGCTGAGGTGGCGCTGCTTGATAGGCAGATCGTGATTCAGGGCACTGACGAGGCAGCTCCACACCAGTACGACGGTATGTCAGTCACACTATAAGGCACTTTGGCTGCTAGGCCTGCCGCTTTTGGCAGTCACTTGGGCACATTTTGAGGCTTCTTGATAGGCACACACTGTCTTGTCATTCAGGGCACGGACGAGGCTGCTCCACACCAGTACGACGGTATGTGAGTCGGACACGCTCAGAGGGCCAGTTAGGCTGAGAACAGGCCTTGAGGCTGTTGGTATAGGCTCTCGATTCGGCACACACAGTCTTGTCATTCAGGGCACGGACGAGGCTGCTCCACACCAGCACGACGGTATGTGAGTCACACATTCTTAGGCTACTACTTAGCCTCAGTTTGTCAGGCTGTTAGTTTATGCTGTCAGTTCGGCACACAAGCTTTTGTCCTTCAGGGCACTGACGAGGCTGCTCCACACACACACCAGTACAACAAGATGTCAGGCGCACATTCCGTCAGTCAGTCTGGCACACGCCTAGGCTGTTAGATTTACCCTTCAGGAGGGCACTTCATGGTATACATGACTCGCACCCAGCAAGCAATTGAGTACGTTCAGTTCTGAGGGCTGGGCAACCAACGCACGCTCGGCCGCTACCCCCTTCACTTCCCTTCCACATCTGCAGCATCCCTGCTGCCCCCACCTGAATCACAACTGTTTGAATAAACCCCACTTTTTCCCCTGACCTGTCCCCTTTCCACCCCGCCCTTCTCCCCTGCCTTCCTCTCCTCTCCTTCCCCTTTTCGTTCCCCTCGTTGTCCTCCCCTCCACACCAGGAGGGCACTTCATGGTCTATATGACTCCCACCCCCCAGGTTATCGAGGGGGTTCAGTTCAGAGGACTCGGCAACCAAGGCATGCTCGGCCGCTACCCCCTTCAATTCCCTTCACGTCTGTGGCCTCCCTGTCATCTCCTGCCATCCCCTCCTCTCCCCTTCTCCAGGAGGGCACTTCATGGTGTACATGACTCCCACCCCTCAAGCCATCGAAGGCGTTCAGTTCAGAGGACTTGGCAACCAGGGCACGCTCGGCCGCTACCCCCTTCACTTCCACGTGTGCGGGCTCCCCGCGGACGCATCCTCCTTTCACCCTTCCTTCTTTTCCCCTCGTGGTCTTCCTTCTCCCCCCCACCAGGCGGACACTTCATGGTATACATGACTCCCACCCCCCAGGCCATTGAGGGCGTTCAGTTCAGAGGGCTGGGCAACCAAGGCACACTCGGCCGCTACCCCCTTCAATTCCCTTCACGTCTGTGGCCTCCCCGTTCATCTCCTGCCATCCCCTCCTCTCCCCTTCTCCAGGAGGGCACTTCATGGTGTACATGACTCCCACCCCTCAAGCCATCGAAGGCGTTCAGTTCAGAGGACTTGGCAACCAAGGCACGCTCGGCCGCTACCCCCTCCACTTCCACGTGTGCGGGCTCCCCACGGACGCATCTCAGCCGCACATCGTGCGCAAGAACGCGATCGTGCACTCGAAGCAGCGGTGCATGGTGATCCACGCGACCAGCAACATGAGCATAGAAGACAACGTCACCTACGAGACCAAGGGACACTGCTACCTGGTGGAGGAGGGGTCGGAGATGGGCAACGTGTTTCGGAGGAACCTGGGGATGAGTGTGAGGGGCGTGGAGAAGGTGATTCCCCCGGATACAAGTGACCGGTACGGGTTCCACACGGACAAGCAGCCAAGCGTGTTCTGGATGGCGACTCCTTACAATTCTTTCTATGGGAATGTGGCTGCTGGTTCCGAGAACAGCGGGTGAGTCACGAGGGAACCTGGGGATGAGTGTGAGAGGGGTGGAGAAGGTGATTTCCCCGGATTCGACGGATCGGTATGGGTTCCACCTGGTTTTTGAGAATTCTCAAAAACCAGCTCTTTCCACACGGACAAGCAAGCAGCCAAGCGTGTTCTGGATGGCCACTCCTTACAATAGCTTCTATGGGAATGTTGCTGCTGGTTCGGAGAACAGCGGGTGAGTGGAAATGAGTGTAGAGGAGGGAAGTGGAGTGGAGTAGGGTGGAGTCTAGCTGGGGTTTCACACGGACAAGCAGCCTAGCGTGTTCTGGATGGCCACTCCTTATAACAGCTTCTATGGGAACGTGGCTGCTGGGTCGCAGAACAGCGGGTGAGTCGAATCAAGTTGACTCCCCCATTGCTAGCTGTCTCCCCTCTCAACCCCTCTCCCCTCTCAACCCCTCTCCCCTCTCAACCCCTCTCCCCTCTCAACCCCTCTCCCCTCTCAACCCCTTTCCCGTCCCGTCCCTCTCCCTTGTCTCTCCCCCTTGTCTCGACCCCCTTGTCTCTCCCCCTTGTCTCTCCCATTCTCATTCCCCCAGCTTCTGGCTGGAGGCCAACCCGACCATGAGGGGCATCTCACGCCTGCTGCCTGCCATCGGCAACAAACGGCCCGACAGGTGGGGAGGGGGGGGGGGGGGGGGGTGCATGTGAGCATGGGTGCATGGGTGCATGGGGCCATGGGGACACAGAGGCACGAAGTTACTTTCCACCCCACTTTACAAGGGGCATCTCGCGCCTGCTGCCTGACATCGGCAACAAAGGCTCGTTTTCTGGGCATGGAAGCACGGGGGCATGAGGCTGAATGAACCCCAACATGCGCGCTACTCCCTCTTTGGCCTCCGCTCGTACCCCCACGGCTTGCAGTCCCGCTTCGCTTCCCCAACAACGGCGCCATCACCCCCTTCATTCCCTTTCCCCCCACACCACTTCACACATGCAGGTTCAACTGGGGGGATTATGAGGGTAACGTGGCGCACTCGTCCCTCTTTGGTTTCCGAACGTATCCCCACGGCTCGCAGTCCCGCCACCCCAACTAGACTGGGTGATCGCATACCTCAAGGATTCGCTCTTTCCACCCCTCCTCACCTCGAATTTGCAGGTTCAACTGGGGCGAATATGTGGGCAACGTGGCGCATTCGTCCCTCTTTGGCTTCCGCACGTACCCCCACGGCTCACAGTCACGCTTCCCTGACTACACTGGGGTGGTCACATACCTCAAGGATTCACTCTTCTACCGGAACAAAGCAGGGTGAGTGACGCACGGGAGGGTGAGTGTGTAGAAAGCTACCCCAACTACACTGGCGTGATAACGTGTCTCCAGGACTCACTCTTCTATCGGAACAAGGCAGGGTGAGTGGAGGTAAAGGTGGTTGGCTCGCTCGTTCACAGGAACCACCCAACACGGCTCACAGTCACGCTTCCCTGACTACACTGGGGTGGTCACATATCTCAAGGATTCACTCTTCTACCGGAGTGAGTGACGCAGAAGGTGGTGGGCCCGCTCGTTCACAGGCAATCCCCATGGCTCACAGTCCCGCTTCCCCAACTACACTGGGGTGGTCACATACCTCAAGGACTCACTCTTCTACCGGAACAAAGCAGGGTGAGTCAAATCTGACAGTGGATGTAGCGATCTTGCCAAAAACTACGTCGCTGTGGTGGATAATACGTGACATGGGAATCGCCTTAAGCCCGCTGGCTTCCCTCATCCTCCCTTTTCCCGTTCTTCCTCCTCCCAGCATCCTCTTGTGAACACGGAGCGCATAGTGGTGGAGAGCGGTGCATTTGTGAATTGACTCAAGCCCACCTGTCCCTTTCCGTCCCTTCACAACCTTCTTGATCTTCTCTCCTCGGCAATTCCCCCCCCCTCCCCCCCAGCATTCTCTTTGTGAACACGGAGTGCATAGTGGTGGAGAGCGGTGTGGTGGTGACTTGACTAAAGCCTACCTGTCCCTTAGCTTCACTTCTCCACCATCCCTACTCTTTCCACCCCTTCCCAGCATTCTCTTTGTGAACACGGATCGCATAGTGGTGGAGAACGGTGCATTTGTGGAGAACGCATATGGGATGGACATCAGTCGAAACGGTGGGGTGACGGTCAAGGGGTGCCGATTCGTGGGCACTCTCCCCTCCACCTGCACGTAAGGGAAGGGAAGGGAGGGGAAGGGTGTACCTTTGATCCGCTGGAAAGCTAAAGGAAGGGAGTGAGTTCTATTTGCACCCAAGGGAAGCAGGTCACTCTGACCAGCATGTATGGGAAGGGAACGCGTACGGGATGGACATCAGTCGAAACGGAACTCGGCACCTCAAACTTGCACGTCAAACTTGCACGTCAGTTGATTAGTGCAGATGTAGGTATAGAGACAACAATCAAGATTATCCAAGCACTGGAAAATCGCATGGCACACAACAAAGCCCTATCTGCCGATGAGCTACCAATCATATTAAAAGAAGAAACAATCGTTTGTGGATATCCACTTGAGGATATTCGCTCGAGGATATCCACTCGCGGATACCCGCTCGAGGATATCCACTCGAGGATACCCACTCGAGGATATCCGCTCGAGGATACCCGCTCGAGGATATCCGCTCGCAGATATCCACTCGCGGATATCCAGTCGAGGATATCCACTCGAAAATATCCGCTCGCGGATATCCACTCGAAAATATCCACTCGCGGATATCCACTCGCGGACATCTACTCGCGGATATCCACTCGAGGATATCCGCTCGAGGATATCCGCTCGAGGAACAGCAGGAACAGAAGCAGTAGGAACAGCAGCAGCAGCAGAAGCAGCAGCAGAAGCAGCAGCAGAAGCAGCAGCAGAAGCAGCAGCAGAAGCAGCAGCAGAAGCAGCAGCAGAAACAGCAGAAATAGCAGAATTGCATTTAGCAGAAACAGCACAAACAGCAGAAACAGCAGAAACAGCAGCAGCAGTAGAAACAGCAGCAGCAGCAGCAGCAGAAAAAGCAGCAGCAAACTTGCACCTCTAACTTGCACGTCAAACTTGCACCTCAAACTTGCACGTCAAACTCAAAATCTTGCACCTCAAACTTGCACCTCAAACTTGCACCTGCATGGGTGCGGTGTATTGTATGGGTGTGCGGAGCAGTGCATGGGTGACGGTCAAGGGATGCCGCTTCATGGGCACCTTGCCTTCCACCTGCACCTAAGTGAAGGGCAGGGAGTGACCTTCGCTGAGAGTGGCTTGTGAGAGTGGCTTTCACTTATCTGTGAAGGTGTTTTTGGACGTCCCAAAACTCGCTTTCTAGTGGCGATTTAATTTTGATTGTCCTCAGAATTGGTGAGACGTCTCAAAACTAGTGGCCTCTGCTGGCATGTGAAAGTGGCTTTAGTTTTGAGACGTCTCAAAACTAGTGGCCTCTTCTGGCATGTGAAAGTGGCTTTAGTTTTGAGACGTCTCAAAACTAGTGGCCTCTGCTGGCATGTGAAAGTGGCTTTCACTTACGTGTGAAGGTGTTTGGGGACGTCCCAAAACTTGGTTTCTAATGGCGATCTGACGGCCAAGGAATGCTTATTCTTGTTGGTCTTTTTGTCCTTCTGTCCCCCTGTCTCCTTCTCCCTCTGTCTCTATCCATTGGTGTCTTTGTTCCCCTCTCTCACCCTGCCCGCCTATCCCTCCGCCCCTCTGTCGCCCTGTCCCTCTTTCCCTCTGTCCCTGTGCTCCCAGTGCTAAGGCTATGGCTGCCATTCGCAGCAGCAGCAGCAGCAGCAGCAGCAGCAGCAGCAGCAGCGGCAGCAGCAGAAGCAGCAGCAGCACCAAGAGCATGAGCCTCGCCAGCAGCAGTATCACCAACAAGAGCAACCAGCCTTCAGCCACAGGTCCTGACACTCTCTCTCTTTCTTTCCAGGGCCCCACCACAGAGTGGGAACCCCCAGGCATGGCAGATGCTATCAAGCCATGGGCTGAATTCCTCTATCCCTTCCCTAGTGACGATGGGGGAGACTATGGTGAGGATGGGGGTGATTATGATGATTATGGGGATTATGGCGGGGATGGTGGGGGGGGTGGGACTGGTAGTAGCATCAGCACAGGCAGCAGCAGTGGCGGCGGCAGCAGCGACAGCCGCAGTGGCAGCAGCAGCACCAATAGCGGTGGCAGCAGCAACAGCAGCAGTGGCAGCAGCAGCAGTAGCAGCAGCAGCAGTGGAGAGGCGGAGATGGCATACAACATAACTGCAGGGGAGGTGCCTCCCTGGGCTGAGCGCTTCTGGTTGGGCTACTGGGAACAGCCTGCTGGCGGCGGCAACGCAGCAGCAGCAGCATTCCCGGCGCAAGCAGCAGCGAAAGCAGCAGCAGCGCAGACAGGAGCAGCAGTGCGATCAATGCAAGCAGCAGAGGTGCAGGCGCAGAAGGAGATAGGAGACGGGTCGTTTGACTCGCCCATTGGAGTCACGCTGAGCCAGAGCAACCCCGCTGACATCCTGCGACCCTCTTCTGTGGAAGATTCCCTGTAAGTTCCTGCTTTGAGAGCCGGTACACGATTTCTTGAGAGGTTGCTCTTCCTCCTCTGTTTCCCAAGCTTCAACCCGCTATAGCACATGCACCACAGGCAGCTTCGGCGTCGCTCTTGTAACCATGCACCCCTGTTTCAATTCGGGAGAATATTGCAGCTGCAACAAATTCTTCACCCCAGTTTCGACGAGTTGACTTTTGAGTCGACTCAAAATGTAACCATGCACCCCTGTTTGGTGCAGCTGCAACAAATTCTTCACCCCAGTTTCGACTCACCCCTTTCCAACCAACCCCCTCCGTCCGGAGTCAACGCTTTTCTTCAGCTTCTCAGGCTATGGAACATGCACCACTGGTAGCTTCGGCATTGCCCTTGTGACCAACAAGCCGGGGGGCTTCTGGAACACTGCCTTCTTTGTGCAGGTGTGTTGTCAGCTCCCCATCCCCCCGTCGTCCCCCCCCTTCCCCCCCCTCGTCCCCCCCTCTTCCCCCCCTCTCCCCCCCGCCTTCCCCCCCTCTTCCCTTTCCTTACCCTCTTCCCCTCTCCTCTCTTTCCCTCACAGAACGATTATTCGCATCGGTCCCAAATTCACCTTTACCCACCCCCTCTCCCTTCCTCTCCCTGTCCCTTCCTTCCTCTCTCTCCCTTGTCCCTCCCCTCTTCCCCTCTCAATCTTTCCCGCACAGAACAATTCATTTGCATCGGGCAGCAAGAGATTCTGGGCCACGCCAAACCCGGTAAGAACCCGTACGTCTATCGTTTAGCACGTGGTGTAAAGGTTGTTCCTTTTTTAGGCGCCTCAAATTATCGTCTCTGGGCCACGCCACGCCAAACCCGGTAAGAACCCGTACGTCTATCTGTCGTTTAGCATGTGTTGTGGCCTCTGCCTTTGTCCTTTGAAATGTGGATCAGAGGTTTTGTCTGTGTAAGGAAAGTGTCTTATCTTTTCAATGCCGGAGACCCCTCATCATCATTATCCCCTTCCTCTAGCATCACCTCTCATCCCAACCTCCCCTCACCTCTTCTTCCCGCTTCTCTACCCTCCCAGCCTGCCTCCACTCCCCCCAGGGGGGGTCTGATCGCGCGATTCTACGCTCTCAGGGACCTCGACGGTTCTCTCCTCTCCTCGGCACGCCAGGCGCATTCAACTCTTGCCCATCCTCCCTCTCCTCCCATCGCCTCTCCAGCCTGCCACCACTCCCCCCAGGGGGGGTCTCATCGCGCGTTTCTACGCCCTCAGGGATCTCGACGGTTCTCTCCTCGGCACGCCGGGCGCCTTTGCAGTCGCCCCCTTCTCGCCCATCCTGCCACCCGCCGCTGTGCGCCCCAGCCTGTGCCAGTACCGGGCTGAGAGTGCCGTGTGGCAGTGCCAGTCGGTGTGCTACAGGGCAGTGGGCGTGTTTTACTATGAGCCAGGAGTGAGACCCAATGGGATGACCGGGCTTCCTTCGAAGGTGCTCCGACCTTATAGGTGAGCGTTGGGAGCAATATTTCAATTGTGGGAGAGCGTTGTGTCTCTGCTGGTGTGAGTTCTTCCATTCCCTTCTCTGCTGGTGTCAGTTCGACTTTTGAGTCGACTCAAAAGGTGACTTTTGACTTTTGAGTCGACTCAAAAGGTGACTTTTGACTGTTGAGTCGACTCAAAGTCTTCCATTCTCTTCTCTGCTGGTGTGAGTTCCCCTTCTCTGCTGGTGTGAGTTCTTCCATTCCCTTCTCTTCGGCTTTTGAGGCGCCTCAAAATTCAACTGTGGGAGATCGTTGTGTCTCTGCCGGTGTGAGTTCTTCCATTTCCTTCTCTGCGGGATGTGAGTTCTCACCCCTGCACTCTTCCACCACCCCGCTCCCCCCTACCAGCTACATCAACATAACGAGGGAGGAGGACGGCGAGACCTTCACGGCATACGGCACGGACAATGACAACCCTGACAGCCCCCCTGCTGACCCCAAGCACTTCTCACATGCTTTTCTACCCTCATAAGCACTAAAATATGAGTTTAGTAGCTCATTCCTGTTCCCCTCCCTCTCCCTCTCCCCACCCACCCCACCAGCTACATCAACATTACAAGAGAAGAAGATGGGGAGACCTTCACAGCCTACGGCACGGACAACGACAACCCTGACAGCCCCCCTGCTGACCCCAAGCGCACCGCAGCACACACCCTCTTTCACCCTTAGTTTCAGTCAAGCTCAATTTTTTCTCCTCTCCCCCTTCCCCCCACCACCAGCTACATCAACATAACGAGGGAGGAGGATGGGGAGACCTTCACAGCGTACGGCACAGACAACGACAACCCTGACAGCCCCCCTGCTGACATCCGCCCTGCTGGAAGCACCAACCCCATCTCACACTCAGTAGTGATTCCAGCTCCTCTTGTCTCTCCCCGCTCCCCTCCCCACCACCAGCTACATCAACATAACGAGGGAGGAGGATGGGGAGACCTTCACGGCATACGGCATGGACAACGACAACCCTGACAGCCCCCCTGCTGACCCCAAGCGCACCCTTGCTCAACAGCACCACCCCTTCCCCCTTTCGTCTCCCTTTCCTCTCCCTTTCCTCTCCCTTTCCTCTCCCTTTCCTCTCCCTTTCCTCTCCCTTTCCTCTCCCTTTCCTCTCCCTTTCCTCTCCCTTTCCTCTCCCTTTCCTCTCCCCCACCACCAGCTACATCAACATCACAAGGGAAGAAGACGGGGAGACCTTCACAGCATACGGCACGGACAACGACAATCCTGACAGCCCCCCTGCAGACCCCAAGCGCACTGCCTACCGTTACGTTACCGCGTCGCTGCTCGCTGGGTACACCTACCGGTTCACGATTATCCCTGCCCCCACCAACAGCCTCTTTTACCCCACATGGGCTCAGGTGTGTGGGGTGTGGTTGAGGGAGTGAGAGGGAGTGTTGTTGAGAGTGTGAGTACACATGGCTGGTTACATCTATCGGTTCACGATCATCCCTGCTCCCACCACAGCATCTTCTACCCAACCTGGGCTCAGGTGCGTGACTGTAACTGAGTGTGAGAGTGAGAAATTGAGTATACATGAGGCCAAGCTGGCTTGCATACGTTGCCGCGACGCTGCTCGCTTGGTACACATACCGGTTCACAATTATCCCTGCCCCCACCAACAGCCTCTTCTATCCCGCATGGGCTCAGGTGCGAGAGTGAGAATGAGTGAGTGCGTGAGTGCGTGTGTGCGTGTGTGAGTGAGTGAGCGAGTGTGCATTAGTGCAGGAATGTGAGTGTGTGTCTTGCTTACGTCACCGCATTGCTCGCTGCTGGCTGGTTACACATACCAGTTCACGATCGTGCCTGCCCTCTCCAATAGCCTACCCCACCTCTCTCCTCTCCTCTCCTCTCCTCTCCTCTCCTCTCCTCCCCTCCCCTCCCCTCCCCTCCCCTCTCCTCTCCTCTCCTCTCCTCTCCTCTCCTCTCCTCTCCTCTCCTCTCCTCTCCTCTCCCTCTCCTCTCCTCTCCTCTCCTCTCCTCTCCTCTCCTCTCCTCTCCTCTCCTCTCCCCTCCTATCTCTTTTTGTTCACTGCAGCTGTGGTCGTACGACAAGGGTGGCTGTGAGGGGGCCCTGAAGATCAAGATGGTTGCTAAGGATCAAACCACTCAGTGGTTCGCCACCGATGCTCCCAACCTGTGAGTCTCGTTCGGCTATCCCGAACCTCTCCCAATCTCTTCATATTGTTGGCATATACTGAACCTCTTTCCAACATGTGCATATTTCTGCATCTCCCGACACTCTTCCCAACCTTGTCTCAAGCTGCGAGTTTCGCTGCCCTTCTCTCCTCATCTGCTTTCCTAATTTCCTTCCTGCCCTTTCACTTTCATCCTCCCCCCCTTCCATCCCACGCTCAGTGGCCCTCAACTACCTTTGCCCCTCAACGCATCTTCGCCTCATCTTCTCTCCTCTTTCCATTATCTCCTCCCTTCCTCCCAGCCCATGCTCAGAAGCCCTCAAGTACAAGACCTACAAGGAGCATCTCTGGCCCTCCTCTTCCTTTTTTTCCTAATCCTCCTCACCACTCGTGCTCCCCACCTCGCATCATCCCTTTTCCTGTTTTCTCTCCCGTCCTTCCAGCCCATGTTCAGGAACCCTCAAGTACAAGACTTACAAGGAGCATCTCTGCTCCTCCTCCTCCTCATCCTCCCCACCTCGCATCCTCCCTATTCCTGTTCTTTCCCGTCCCTCCAGCCCATGCTCAGGAGCCCTCAAGTACAAGACTTACAAGGAGTATCTCTGCCCCTCCTCTTCCTCCTCCTCCTCCCCACCTCTCCTGCAACTCACGGTCGGCCCCACCAGCTACGGCCCACTCGCCACCATGCAGCTCAACGCCTCCTCGCCCTCCTCTTGCTCTGCGTGAGTCCCGCCCTCCCTCCCTTGTTCGAGCTCCTTTCTGGTAGTTAGTGTTGCTCTCCTGCACCTCACGGTCGGCCCCACCAGCTACGGCGCACTCACCACAATGAAGCTCAACGCAACGGCCCCGTCCTCTTGCTCTGTGTCTGTCCCACCGGGCCCACCCGGGCCCACCCGCACCTCTTGCATTGCATTCGCTTCTGACAATTCTCATGTTCCTGGCCCATGCCCCTCTTTTCTTATATTCACTATTGTAACAAGACAATTGTCGTTGTTGCAGCCCGGCCCGTTGTCGTTATTGTAACCAGCCCGTTGCCGTTGTTGTAATGAGCCCTTGATCGTTGTTGTAACGAGCCCTTAGTCGTTGTTGTAACGAGCCCGTTGCCGTTGTTGTAACGAGGCCTTAGTCGTTGACATAACCAGCCCATTGTTGTCACAACCTTGGTCACCTGATTTTGCTCCTATGATTGTGTGCTGCGTGCATTTTCGTACCCAATGGCAGCGCATGTTCATAATGTGGGCTGGACATTCTTCAACCCAGGCAGTCTCCACGGTACCGTATATGTTTAGGCTGTGCGCTGCAAAGTTTGTTCCACAAATGTGTGTATGTGTTGACACTTGTGTTGAATGTTACCTGTTTTGAATTGTTTTATGAGTTTTGGGGCTAACATGTCAATATTGTTTTGTACTGCGCGCTCTAAGAATCATACAACTGCATTCTTTACTTTGGAAAAAAACTTAATAGTGTTGTAACCCTTCCTCCCTATCCTGTCTATCCATGCTCTTTTCTCGAGTCAATTTTCTCTAGCATAGTCCTCTTTTTCTTCATCTTCATTTGCCAAGTCCAATATAGCCCAATTGCCTCTCAAACTTCTCCACAATGTTGGACCAACAATTAGGCCATTCTGTTGCTGTAGTGATATTACACGGTATACTGCAGTATAAGCTGGTTCTTGAAACGAGCACAGCTTCGGTAGGGTTCTTCCCTCCCCAATTCCCCATCTGGCTGACTTTCCCTCGCCAGTTCATTTGCTTGTCCTTTCGCTCCATTCCCCTCTCTCCCATTCGTCCCCCTCATGCACCCATCACTAATTCCGGAACCAATCTGAAACTTGGAGTGCAAATGCAGCTTTGTCTGTACAGCACACTGTACGCACTGTACAGTTCACATGGAATTGAATCGTTGACTTTAGTCTGGATACGATGCCTCGCCAGTGTCTTCCAGCACATACTGTTGCGTGTCTGACAGCATCGGACGTGACCCCTCCCAAACTTTGTTGACGGTCACTTCGGTTCGGTTTGCCCTACGGCTCGTGCTTTAGGATGCGTTGCTGTAAAATTTGACGGATGCCTTTCCTCCGTCCCTACCCGCTTATCTGTCATCGTGGAGAGTTTGAACGGTGGAAGATTGGGGAAGGTGGGGATCTCTATGATTTTAGGTTGGTGATCTGGTGAATATGGCAATTCCTAGGAATTGTGAAAGTGTTGACAGCTGAACTGTAAATTATGAAAGTCCGCTGGTGGAGAGGTTTTCTTTAGACGGATTATTCTTGTACACCCTGTTTCTCACTACACTGAACTGTGCCGAACTGGTGGAAAACCTTGTTATCTTCGATTTGTCTGATTGAACCATACCGATACTTAATCTAACCACCGTTAACCGTGCTTTTCCCATCTTGACTTCACTATAACCGAGTTCACAATGCCGAGAAAGAGGGTGTACTCGTGTGGGTGTGTCAGATAAAGCACGGGTGACAATGGAAGCGAGGCTTTTAGGACGTGGGCCCAATCGACAGTGGGTGCTACAGCCAGTGCTACAGCCAGTGCTACAGCCAGTGCTACAGCCGAGTGTTTCAGGGGCAGTTATGGCTTGGAGAGAATGCAGATGATGGCATCTCTTGAGTCTACTCAAAACATGGCCCATGCTACAGCCGGTGCTACAGCCGAGTGTTTCAGGGGCAGTTATGGGATGGAGAGAATGCAGATGATGCCGTCGTTTATGGCTGCAAACTCGGCGGAGGATGGGGAGGGGGAGGGGGAGGGGGAGGGGGAAGGGGAGGGGGAAGGGGAAGAAGAAGGAGCCGTGGGGGAGGGGGCGGGGGAGGGGGGAAGATACGAGGGAGACGAAGAGGGGCGGGGGGATGAGGAGCACCAAGGGAGGGAGGGAGCATACGGATTGATGGCGGTTGATGCTCCTGCTGCTGATGGTTCCGCTGCTACTGCTGGCACTGCTGCTACTGCTGGCACTGCTGCTGCTGCTGGCACTGCTGCTGCTTTGTTTGCAGGAGGGTTTGTGTTTGGTGGGAGAGGGGGCATGCTAGCAGGTGATAGTGGTGCTGGGAGTGATGGCGGTGGTGGTGCTGCTGCTGCTGTTGCTGCTGCTGTTGCTGCTGCTGTTGCTTCTGCCGTTGCTGGTACTAGCAGTGATGGTGATGATGATGCTGCTGCTGGCAGTGGTGACGCTGCTGCTGGCAGTGGTGGCGATGGTGGTGGTGATGGTGGTGGCGATGGTGGTGGCGATGGTGGTGGTGGTGCCACTGGCAGTGCTGGTGTTGGCAGAGGGGGGAGGCACAGGCAGCAGCAGGGGAACATCAAGCCGAGGTCAATGAGGGAACGACGCAGGAGAGAAAGAATAAGGTAAGCCAATAAGCTGCCCCGCTGTAGCTGTGCCAGCCTCTGCCGTTGATTTATTCGTGTAAAAATAGCGTTGGTACATGATGCCTTACTTTTGTGTCGACTCTAAAGCAGCTGTGCCAGACTCTGCCTTTGGTTTCCCCGCGTACAAATAACTCTGGTACATGATTCCTCACCAACGCTTTTTGCACCCGTTCTTCCTTTGTTTCCATGTTTCCTGCGAGAGCAGTGAGTCACTGAAGCGGTTAAGGATGACGGTGCCTCTGGACCTGCTGGGCCCGCGCCAACACCGTGCCTGATATTCCTTCCACTACCCTTTTTTCTCTCCTCTCCCCCACTTGTTCCCCGCGAGAGCAGTGAGTCACTGAAGCGGTTAAGGATGACGGTGCCTCTGGACCTGCTGGGCCCGCGCCAACACCGTGCCTGATATTCCTTCCACTACCCTTTTTCTCTCCTCTCCCCCACTTGTTCCCCGCGAGAGCAGTGAGTCACTGAAGCGGTTAAGGATGACGGTGCCTCTGGACCTGCTGGGCCCGCACCAAGACCTGGGATCCATGATCGAAGGAGCCGTCAACTACATTCAAGTCATGCAGGTGAGCTGGCTGTTGTATGCTAGCTGTCAGCTGCGTGCTGGTCATGCGGGTTCCCAGCTGGTCATGCGGGTTCCTTGAGCACGGCCGTTGAGCACCTCATGACTCTTGAGTCAACTCAAAAGTCACGACCGTTGAGCACCTCATGAAGTTGTTGTGAATCAACTCAACAATGCACATCTTTGCTTCTTTGTGCACACGTGTCATTGTCAATCCAGATGAGACTGTCGGAGCTGCAGCAGCGAGTGCTGGAGGGGGAAATCAGGGCACGCCTCAACAGGTAGATTGGTGGTGGTGGTGGATCATACCGTATCATATGAGGCGCCTCAAAAGTCGCACGTGTCATTGTCAACCCATATGCGACTGTCGGAGCTGCAGCAGCGAGTGCTGGAGGGGGTGATCAGAGCAAGGCTTAACAGGTAGATCGGCAGTGGCCCATACGACCGGATCGTATGGCCAGCATGTGTAACAGTATCAGATTACTCGTACTGTAAGAGCAATTGTTATATAGTTATTTATAGAGGGGCAGAGTAAAAGCTAGTAGAAGCTTAGGTGCTCTTTGTTAGCTATGTGTGGTGTGTTGCACCCAATGACTTCTCGTGCTATGAAGGGCGTTCTGTCGCGAGTCCATTCCATGCAAGTACCATGCAACAGTAGTACGGTAGCCTCATGGACATCATGTAGTCTCAGGGATAAGAAATCACCCAAGCACTATTAGGGGGGGGTAGAGTAGGTCATGGTGCATGACTCAACCCCCCTTGGGACTGGAGCTAAAACAGTACATAACGCCTAACAGAATTTATACGTTTATGCTGGAGTCTAGTCTAAGGAGCCGAGTCTGACATGACGCATGATGATGTGATGATCATTAAAGCATGATCGAGTGATAACATAACGGGTTTGCAGGCTTGTACCGTATCCTGCAATGTAGGGTGTAAAGGTGGGAGGGAAGCTGGGGAGCAGCAGCAGCGGCGACAGCAGCACAGGCATTGAATCTGGGCTCGGGCACTGGTACTACGCTGACACTGCCCTGTGCCGCATATCACCGCTCCCAACCTTCTCCAATCTAGCTGCAGGCATTGAGGCTGGGCTCGGGCACTGGTACCGTACTATGCTGACACTGCCCTGAGCCGCATGTCACCGCTCCCAACCTCCTTCAATCTAGCTGCAGGCGTTAAAGCTGGGCCCCGCATACTGGTACCACACCCCCAGCTGATTATTCGCTACGATCTTCCCCACCCCGCAATCGTCAGGGTCGTGGAACATAATACACTTTCCGCCGCAATCCCCGTTGGCAGCGCTGTGGGCAATGTAGGCCCAGAGGTTGCAGTAGTCTGCTTGCTGGACTTGGGTTGCGAGGCACTGCTGCTGGCACTGCTTGTATGAGGGTAGCCGCACCATGCCCGTTATGTGCTGCAGGTTGTCGCGTAAACCAGGCACCTGGAGGAGTGGTGGAGGGGAGAGAGGAGGAGAGAGAGGAGGGAAGAAAGGAGGGAAGGGAAGAGGAGGGGGTGGAAATTGAGTGGGACAGGAGGGCAGGGAAGGTGGTGGTGCTGTTGGCAATGTAGGCCCAGAGGTTGCAGTAGTCTGCCTGCTGCACTTGCGTGGCGAGGCACTGCTGCTGGCACTGCTTGTATGAGGGTAGCCGCACCATGCCCGTTATCTGCTGCAGGTTGTCGCGTAAACCAGGCACCTGGAGGAGTGGTGGAGGGGAGAGAGGAGGAGAGAGAGGAGGGAAGAAAGGAGGGAAGGGAAGAGGAGGGGGTGGAAATTGAGTGGGACA